CTTCAAGCTTTATCCTTGTCCTTGCAAAGGACATGATCTTGTTCCTTTTTATGGCTGCATAGTATTCCATATGTGTGTATATGTACCATAATGGTGTATATGTACCACATTATCTTAATTCAATCTGTCATTGATGGGCATGGGTTGATTCCATGTCTTCACTATTGTGAATACTGCTGCAATAAATATACGTGTGCATGGGTCTTTGCAATAGATTAATTTATAGTCTTTGGGGTATCTACTCAATAAGGGGATTGCTGGGTCAAATAATATATCTAACTCTAAATTTTTAAGGAATTGCCACACTGTTTTTCACAATGGCTCAACTAATTTACATTCTTGCCAACTGTGTAAGTGTTTCTTCTTCTCTGCAACCTTGCCAGCATCTGTTGTTTCTTGACATTTTAATAGTTGCCATTATGACTGGTGTGAGATGGTATTTCATTGTGGTTTGGATTTGCATTTTTCTTTTCCCTAATGATCAGTGATGTGGAGATTTTTTTTATGTTTGTTGACCACATATATATCTTCTTTTGAGAAGTGCCTATTTGTGTCTTTTGCCCACTTTTAATGGGGTTGTTTGCTTTACTTCTTGTAAGTTTTCTTAAGTTCCTTGTAGACTTCATATTAAACCTTTGTCAGATGGATAGACTGCAAACATTTTCTCCCATTGTGTAGGTTCCTCACTCTGATGGTACTTTCTTTTGCTGTGCAGAAGCTCGTTTACTTAGATCCCATTTGTCAAATTTTGCTTTTGCAATTGATTTGGCATTTGCATCATGAAATCTTTGCTGGTGCCTATGTCATGAATGGTATTGCCTAGATTTTCTTCTAGAGTTTTTATAATTTTTAGTTTTACATTTAAGTCTTTAATCCCTCTTGAGTTAATTTTTGTATAAGGTATAGGGAATTTCAATTTGCTGAATATGGCTAAACAGTTTTCCCAGCATCATTTAATAAATATGGAATCCTTTCCCCATTGCTTGTTTTTGTCAGGTTTTTTGATGATCATATTGTTATAGGTGTGCAATTTTATTTCTGAGGCCTCTATTTTGTTCCATTGGTTTATATGTCTGTTTTTGTACCACTACCATGCTGTTTAGGTTACTGTATCTTTGTGGAATAGTTTGAAGTCAAGTAGAGAGATACCTCCAGCTTTGTTCTTTTTGCTTAGGATTGTCTTAGCTATTCAGGCTCCTTTTTGGCTCCATATGAATTTTAAAATAGTTTTTTCTAATTCTGAGAAGAATATCAATCATAGTTTAATGGGTATGGTGTTGAATCTATGAATTACTTTGGGCAGTATGGCATAAGGATGGAACATTTTTCCATTTGTTTGTGTCTTCTTTGATTTCCTTGAGCAATGGTTGGTAGTTCTTGAAGAGGTATTTCACTGCCCTTATTAGCTGTATTCCTAGGTATTTTATTTATCTTGTAACAATTGTGAATCACATTTCATTCCTAAATTGGCTCTCTGCTTGCCTGTTGTTGGTGTATTGCAATGCTAGTGATTTTGCACATTGATTTTTGTATTCTGAAACTTTGCTTAAGTTGGTTATTAGCTTAAGAATATTTTGGATTGAGACAATGGAATTTTGTTGATATAGGACTATTTGCAAATTTGATAATTTGGCATTCAAAGGGTATTCTCCCTATTTGAATATGCTTTATTTCTTTCTCTTGTCTGATTGCCTTGGCCAAAACTTCCAATAGTATTTTGAAGAACTGGTTTGAGGGCATCCTTGTCCTATGATAGTTTTCAAGGGAATGCTTTCAGCTTTTGCTCATGCAGTATAATATTTGATGTGAGTTTGTTATATATGGTTCTTATTATTTTGATGTATTCTCCTTTAAAAACTAGTTTATTGAGAGTTTTTAAGGTAAAGGGTGCTGAATTTTGTCAAAGGCCCTTTGCATCTATTGAGATTATCATGTTTTTTTTATATTTAGCTCTGTTTAGTGATAAATTGCATGTATTTATTCCAATATGTTAAGCCAACCTTGCATCCCAGAGATGAAACCAACTTGAATGTGGTGGATAAACTTTTTGATGTGCTGCTGGATTTGGTTTGCCAGTATTTTATTGAAGAAATTTGCATCAATGTTAATCAGAAATATTAGCCTGAAGTCTCCTTTCTTAGTGTATCTCTGTAAGGTTTTGGTATCAGGAAGATGCTGGCCTCATATAATTAGTTAGGGAGGTGTTCCTCCTTTTCAACTTTTTAGAATGGTTTCAGTAGAAATGGTACCAACTTTTATTTGTACCTCTGTTGGAATTCAGCTATAAATCCACCTGGTCCTGGGCCTTTTTGTTTAGTAGACTACTTATGACAGCCTCAATTTCAGAACTCATTATTGGTCTACTCAAGGTTTCAATTTCTTTCTGGTTCAGTCTTAGGAGGGTGTATATGTTCAGGAATGTATCCATTTCTTCTAGATTTTCTAGTTTATGTGCATATAGGCATTTATAGTATTCTTTGATGGTTGTTTGCTTTACTGTGGAGTCATTGGTGATATCCCCCTTACTTCTGATTGTGTTTACTTGATTCTTCTTTCTTGGCTTCTCTATTAGTTCTAGGTAGTAGTCTATTTTTCTTTTCTTATTTATTTATTTTTTTTCCAAAAACAAAAGTCCTGGATTTATTGATATTTTGAAGGGTTTTTCGTGTCCTTATCTTTCAGTTCCACTCTGATGTTGGTTATTGTTTATCTTCTGCCAGCTTTGGGTTTGTTTGCTCTTGGTTCTCCAGTGCTTTTATTTGTGATGTAAGGTTGTTAATAAGAGATCTTTCTAGCTTTTTCCTTTCCTTTCTTTTCTTCTTTTTTGAAACACAGTCTTGCTGTCACCCAGGCTGGAGTGCAATGGCATGGTCTCAGCTCACTGCAACCTCTGCTTCCCAGGTTCAAGCAATTTTCCTGCCTCAGCCTCCTGAGAAGCTGGGATTACAGGCATGCCTGACTAATTTTTGTATTTTTTGTAGATATGGGGTTTCACCAGGCTGGTCTAGAACTCCTGAACTTGTGATCCACCTGCCTTGGCCTTCCAAAATGCTGGGAATACAGGAGTGAGCCATCACACTCAACTTTTTCTAGCTTTTTGATGTGGGCATTTAGTGTTATAAATTTCCCTCAACACTGCTTTAGCTGCATCTCAGAGATTCTAGTACATTGTCTCTTTGTTCTCATTAATTTCAAAGAATTTTTTGATTTTTGCGTTAATTTTATTATTTACCCATGAGTCATTCAGGAACAGGTTGTTAAATATTCATCTTGTTTTGTGGTTGTGAGGGAATTTCCTAGTCTTGAGTTCTAATTTGATTGTGCTATGATCTGAAAGCTGTTATAATTTCAGTTCTTCTGCATTTGCTGAAGAGTGTTTTACTTCAGATTATGTGATCAATTTTAGAGTAAGTGTATATGGCAATGAAAAGAATGTATATTCTGTTTTTTGGAGGATGAAGTGTTTTTTACATATCTATCAGGTCTGCTTGATCAGAGCTAAGTTCAGGTCCTGAGTATCTTTGTTAATTTTCTGTCTTGATGATCCATCAAACATTGTCTGTATGCTGTCAAAGTCTCCCACTATTACTATGTGGACTCTACATCTCTTTGTAGGTCTCTCAACACTTGCTTTATAAATCTAGGTATTCCTTTATTAGGTGCATATATATATATATATATGGATATATATATATATGGATAGTTAGCTCTTCTTGTTGAATTGACTCCTTTTCCATTATATAGTTCCCTTCTTTGTCTTTTCTGATTTTGTTGGTTTTAAGTTTGTTTTGTCAGAAACTAGGTTGTAACCCCTGATCTTTTCTGTTTTTCATACGTTTGGTAAATTATTCTCAATTCCTTTATTTTGAGCCTATGTGTGTCTCTGCATGTGAGATGTGTCTCTTGAAAACAGCATACCAACAGGTTTGTTTTTTTTTTAAGAGATGGGGTTTCACCATGTTGGCCAGGATGGTCTCGATCTCTTGACCTCGTGATCCACCCTCCTCGGCCTCCCAAAGTGCTGAGATTACAGGTGTGAGTCACCACACCCAGCCATCAACAGGTTTTGACTCTATCCAGTTTGCCAGTCTGTGTCTTTTAATCGGGTCATTTAGCCTATGTATACTTAAAGTTAATATTGCTATATGTAAGTTTGAGCCTGTCACCATAATGTGAGCTGGTAATTTTGTAGACTTGTTTATGTGGTTGTCTCATAGTGTCACTGGTCTGTGTACTTTAACATATTTTTGTAGTGGCTGGTAACAGTTTTTCCTTTCTGTATTTAGTGCATCCCTCAGGAGTTCTTGCAAAGTAGGTGTGTTGTGGACTTATTGCCTCACATTTGTTTGTCTGAAAAGAATCTTATTTCTCCTTTGCTTATGAAACTTACTTTGGCTGGATATGAAATTCTGTGTTGGATATTCTTTAGAAATGTTGAATATTTGCCCCTAGTTGCTTCTGGCTTAAAATGTTTACACTGAGAGGTCTGCTGTTATGCTGATGGGTTTCTCTTTGTAAGCAATCCAGCCTTTCTCTCTGGCTGTGCTTAACAGTTTTTCTTTCATTTTGACCTTAGAGAATCTGATGATTATGTGACTTGGGGTTGATCTTCTTGTGAAGTATCTTACTGTGGTTCTGTAGATTTCCTGAATCTGAATGTTGGCCTGTCTTCCTAGGTTGGGGATGTTCTCCTGGATGATATCCTGAAGTATGTTTTCCAACTTGATTTTGTTCTTATTTCTTTCAGGTGTGCCAGTCAGTTATAGGTTCAGTCTTTTTACATATTCCCATATTTCTCCAGGATTTTGTTCATTCCTTTTTATTTTTTTTCTCTATTCTTTTCTACCTGTCTTATTGCAGGAAGACAGTCTTCAAGCTCTGAGATTATTTTCTCCACTTCTATTGCTATTGATACTTGTTATTCCACTGTGAGTTTCCCATGTTGTGTTTCTCAGCTCCATTAGGTCAGGTATGTTTCTCTCTAAACTGGCTATTCTGGTAACAATATAGACTACTTCACAAATTTATGTGTCATCCTTGTGCAGGGGCCATGCTAATTTTCTCTGTATCATTCCAATTTTAGAATAAGTGCTGCCAAAGCGATCACACAGTCTATTTTTTAAATCCAAAATGGTTTGTATTTCTATCCCATTTATTTACTGACTCCAGAATTATGAAACTATTTTAAAAAGGGTTAGCAAATTTCCCATATCTAGTTTATCAACCAATTTAAAAAAGCCAAAACACCAACAAAAATGAAACAAAATAATATGAAATAAATATATACAGTATAATAGTGAAAACTGTTGTTTAACATTAGGATTTACTATAGCTGTCATTTATATATTAATTTATAATATAGCAATTTTAAATTATAATTATTTATATTATTCCTTTTATAACTGCTTCCTTCTAGTAATATTTAACATACTGATTGATGCATTTTAACATTTTTGTTGAGGTTTAATTGACATACAACAATCAGTGCATAAAGTGCTTAATTTGCTGAATTGATATGCCTATAAGCCACTGAAATAAACACTGCAATTAAGTTGATAAGTATACCCATAGCCCTAAGAGTATATGCTTTTGTAATTCATATACAGTCCTCCTACCTCTCCTTTCTACAAGTATCAATATCCTTTCCATCATTAGAGATTAGTTTGTTTTTCTTTTTCTTTTTCTTTTTTCTTTTTGTGTGAGATGGAGTTTCGCTCGTTACCCAGGCTGGAGTGCAATGGCATGATCTTGGCTCACCGCAACCTCCACCTCCTGGGTTCAGGCAATTCTCCTGCCTCAGCCTCCAGAGTAGCTGGGACTACAGGCATGTGTCACCATGTCCAGCTAATTTTTGTATTTTTAGTAGAGAAGGGGTTTCACCATGTCGACCAGGATGGTCTCGATCTCTTGACCTCGTGATCCACCTGCCTCGGCCTCCCAAAGTGCTGGGATTACAGGCATGAGCCCTAGCACCTGGCCTCTTTCTTTTCTTTTTTATTTTTTTTGGCATTTTATGTAAGTGGAATTTCACATTATGTACTGTCTTTTGATTAGTTTATTTTACTCACTTGTTTTTGTTTTCAGAATTATTCACATTTTGGTGTTCATCAATACTTTAAAAATTTCTGAATAGTTTCTGTTTTATGGGTATATAATTTGTTTATTCATTTACCTATTGAAGGATATTTGGAATGTTTTCAATTTGGTACTTTACAAATAAAGCATAAAAATTTGTGTACAAATCTTTGTGTGAACATAAATATCCAGGAATGAAATATCTAGACTATATGGAAGTTTAAGTAAGAAAGAATTTTTAAAAATTAATATTATAGAGGAGGTTGCTGGCAAGATGGTTGAATAGGAACAGCTCTGGTCTGCAGCTTCCAGCGAGATTAACACATAAGGTGGGTGATTTCTGCATTTCCAGCTGAGGTATCTGGCTTATCTCGTTGGTACCAGTTAGACAGTGGGGACAGCCCATGGAGGCAAGCTGAAGCAGGGTGGAGCATCACCTCACCCAGGAAGTACAAAGGGTTGAGGAACTCTCTTCCCTAGCCAAGGGAAGCTCTGATGGACTGTGATGTGAGGAACAGTACACTCCAGGTAAGACATTATGCTTTTCCCAGTTTTTGCATTCCGTAAACCAGGAGATTTCATCGAGTGCCTATACCATCACCAGGGCCCTAGGTTTCAAGCACAAAACTAGGTAGCCATTTGGGCAGACACTGAGCTAGCTGCAGGAGTTTTTTTTTCTTTCCATATCCCAGTGGCACCTGGAACACCAAGACAGAACTGTTTACTCCCCTTGAAAGGGGGAAAGCCAGGGAGCCAAGTTGTCTAGCTCAGCATATCCCACCCCCACAGAGCTCAGCAAGCTAAGATCCACTGGCTTGAAATTCTCCCTGACAGCACAGCAATCTGAAGTCAACCTGGGACAATCGAGCTTGGTGTGTGTGTTGGGGGGGGTCCGCCATTACTGAGGTCTGAGTAGGAGGTTTTCCCCTCACAGTGTAATCACAGACACCAGGATCTTCAAACTGGGTGAAGCCCATTGCAGCTTGACAAAGCTGCTTTAGCCAAATGCCTCTCTAGATTCCTCCTCTCTGGGAAGGGCATCTCTGAAAGAAAGGCAGCAGCCCCAGCCAGGGGTTTATAGATAAAACTCCCATCTTCCTAGGACAGAGCATCTTCGGGAAGAAGTGACCATGGGCAGCTTCAGCAGACTTGAATGTTCATTTCTGCTGGCTTTGAAAGCAACAGCAGATTTCCTAGCAGAGCCCTTGAGCTCTGCTAAGGAACACACTGCCTCCTTAAATGGGTCTCTGACCCCCATGCCTCCTGACTGGGAGATACTTCTCAGCAGGGATCTAAAGACACCTCCTACAAGAGAGCTCTGGCTGGCATCTGGCTGGTACCCCACTGGGATGAAGCTTCCAGAGGAAGGAACAGGCAGCAATCTTTGCTGTTCTGCTGACTCTGCTGGTGTTACCCAGGCAAACAGGGTCTGGAGTGGACCTCCAGCAAATTCCAGCAGGCCCTGAGTTTGTCACCACCAGGCCTGCAGCAGAGGGGACTGACTGTGAAAAGGAAAATGAACAGAAAGGAATGACATCAACATCAACAAAAGGACGTTCACACAGAAACCCCATCCAAAAGTCACCAACATCAAAGATCAAATGTAGATAAATCCACAAATATTTTTTAAAAAATAGTTCAAAAAAGCTAAAAATTTTAAAACCCAGGATCACTCTTCTCCAAAGGATCACAACTTCTCACCAGCAAGGGAACAAAACTGGATGAAGAATGTGTTTGACAAATTGATGGAAGTAGGCTTCAGAAGGTGGGTAATAACAAAGTCCTCCAAGCTAAAGAAACAGGTTCTAATCCAATGCGAGATTAACACATAAGGTGGGTGATTTCTGCATTTCCAGCTGAGGTATCTGTCTTGTCTCGTTGGTACTGGTTAGACAGTGGGGACAGCCCATGGAGGCTGGTCCGGTTAGACAGTGGGGACAGCCTATGGAGGAAAAAATAAAATAAAGGAAGCTAAGAACCTGGAAAAAAAGGTAAAAGGAATTGCTAACTATAATAACCAGTTTAGAAAAGAACATAAATGACCCAATGGAACTAAAAAGCACAGCACAAGAACTTCATGAAGCATATGCAAGTATCAATAACCAAATTTATCAAGCAGAAAGAAGGATATCAGAGATTGAAGATCAACTTAATGAAATAAAGCATGAAGAAAAGATTAGAGAAAAATAAAATAAAAAGGAATGAACAAAACCTCCAAGAAATATGGAACTATGTGAAAAGACCAAACTTTTTGATTGGTGTGCCTAAAAGTGACAGGGAGAATGGAACTGAATTTGAAAACACTCTTCAGGATGTTATCTAGGAGAATTTCCCTACCCTAGCCAGAGAGGCCAACATTCAAATTCAGGAAATACACAGGACACCACAAAGATACTGCTCAAGAAGAGCAACCCCAAGACACATAATCATCAGATTCACCAAGGTGGAAATGAAGGAAAAATGTTAAGGGCAGCCACAGAGAAAGATCGGGTTACCCACAAAGGGAAGCCCATCCAACTAACAGATCTCTCTGCAGAAACCCTGCAAGCCAGAAGAGTGGAGGCCTAAATTCAATATTCTTAAAGAAAAGAATTTAAAACCCAGAATTACATTTCCAGCCAAACTAAGCTTCATAAGTAAAAGAGAAATAAAATTCTTTACAGACAAGCAAATGCTGAGGGATTCTGTTACCACCAGGCCTGCCTTACAAGAGCTCTTGAAGGAGGCACTAAATATGGAAAGGAAAAACTAGTACAAGCCACTGCCATAAAATAACAAATTGTAGAGACCATCACCACTATGATAAAACTGCATCAACTAACAGGCAAAATAGCCAGTTTGCATCATAATGACAGGAACAAATTCACACATTATAATATTAACCTTAAATATAAACAGGCTAAATGCCCCAATTAAAAGACACAGACTGGCACACTGAATAAAGAGTCAAGACCCATTGGTGTGCTGTATTCAGAAGACCCACATCACATGCAACACATACAGGCTCAAAATAAAGAGATGGAGGAACATTTACCAAGCAAATGGAAAGAAAATTTAAAGAAGCAGGGGTTGCAATCCTAGTCTCTGATAGATTTCAAACCAACAAAGATCAAGAAAGACAAACCATCATTGTTAACCTATTCTGTTGTTTTAAATTATGACTACTTCAAAGGAAATGCTTATTTTCAAAGGTAGTCAATTGTCAGTTAACTATTTTCCACTATGTTTACAATGAAAAAGAGAGAACATCTGAAACTATAAAAACAGTTTTCTACATAGCTTGAACTTATTAATTATTATAAGATCCAAATTAACCAACATTTTATAACCATCTCTATAGGTTTAAATACTCCTTTATCTGGTAATTTAGGTACTACCCAAATTTTCTCTCATTTATTAAAAATATAAATATATTCATGACATTGCCTTTTTAAGAGATTACCTTCTACATGAACATGCTACATCTGACCACTTTCTATGATCACCCCACTAACCTTGAAGCCTACTTTCTAATGATCACTGTCATCTTATACCTGGACCTTCTTTTTTTTTTTTTTTTTTTTTTTTTTTTCCCAGGGCTTCTTTTGAATTTATGTCAGTCCAGCCCTTCAGGATCCACTACTCTTGTTCTACCCACAGACAAGGACAGGCACATGGGTGGGCACACCGGCAGGTCCCTCTATCCCTATCAGTGAGTGGGGGAGTTTCCCAAGGACAGCACCTGTAGCTGGGAGGATTCTCAATCCTTTGTACCAGCTGGTGTTGCCACAGCTCACTTCTTTCAAGGATTTCAAACCTTTCCAGGTATTCCCTGAGGACAAATCTCACTGGTTCTGGCTTTTTTTTTTTTTTTTTTTTGAAACGGAGTCTTGCTCTGTCACCCAGGCTGGAGTGCAGTGGCGCGATCTCGGCTCACTGCAACCTCTGCTCCCGAGTTCAGGAGATTCTCCTGCCTCAGCTTCCCAAGTAGCTGGGACTACAGGTGTGTGCCACCACGCCGGGTTAATTTTTTGTATTTTTAGTAGAGACGGG